CACTAGTGACTGGGTTTTACCCCTTTCTCCTGCTCTTCCGGCCTGCTACTCTGGCATATAAACAGTCAAAATAGGGCAACTCAGCACTTGGCATGATGCTGTACTTTGACTACAAATTAATTTCATTCACAAAGCTAAATTGTATAATATCTATTTAAATTATCATATTAGAATTATCATATTAGAATTATATGCCCTTCTTTAACAATTACTATTTTAATCACCTGAATTAGTCAAAGACAATGTTTTTGTTCCCAAAACTCTTCAAGTCAGGGTTGCAATCTTTCTACTAATGTTGTCAGGAAGGTGTTTATATTTATTTTTACCATATTAATGCAAAGTTTAGTTTATTAAATATGTTGATTTAATAAGGGTAGCAAATGCATCACCATATGCTGATATAATGCTTTCCCATAGATTATCTCATACATAATCTCGAGTGATATGATTACCTACATTTTAAAGCTGCAGAAGCTAAAGTTTAAAGAGATTAAATAATGACTTGCCCTCAGTACAGTGTATATATCACTAAGTTCTAGCTGAACTGAAGTTCGAGCTTTTAGTTTTCTATAATATAATACTTGGATTTGCATTTTCTTATGTGCGTTCCTTAACAATAACCTACATTATTCAGCATGCTAATTATGTGCACTATTTTGACGAACTGTGTGTTTATGACAATGAGTAATCCTCCTGACTGGACAAAGAATGTAGAGTAAGTTCATGTTGTTTTAAATTGCTTAATATACATGTATAGCTACATGTAGATAAAATTTTGAAACTAGGTCTGAATGCAGCCAGTAAATAAACCTGAAGAACATTTTTATTACAGCCATTTCTAGACATAATTACCCAGTGGGAAGAGAGTAGTCACTGGCCCTCGGGTCTGTTGGTATCTCTCTTTCATGTGTACCTGATGTGTAGCAGAGTCTGTCATTCGTAGACACTCAACATCTTTCCTTTAGGACCTACAGTGGCCAAAGCAAACTTGATGAAAAGAGCCAATATGGTGGACCTTGGTTTCTGAATACAATAAGTAAAGAAGTAGAAAGGTCAGACCACAAATGCCACAAGAAGTCGATGCTGAGTCTCACAAAGTTTTTGTTTCCATTAGGCACATCCACTTCATGCCCCACTGATACCAGTTTCAAATATGGTCACTGAGGAATTGGCAGGGGGTAGAAATCCATTATTGATTTTAGTACTTGAAACTTCAGTAGAATGAGTACAAAACTGACTGAAGTGAAAGAGTAGCACTTTCAGAAATCAGAAATATTTCTGATTACTCTTGATTCTAGGCATACCTTTGAGAGCAGAGAGGCCAGCTATGTGATAATCACTGCTGTGGTTGCTCTAATTATAGATGTGCCTGTTTTGGGAATCACCTCTCTGATCACATTGCCTATTACGCTAAGGTTGCTGATCCTTAAAACAATCACAGAGGGATTTCCCAAGAGCCCTTCCTGGCACCAGCAGCTGGAGCCAATCAGGAAATAGACAAAGATGCTCAAGGAAATAATAAAATCAACATATAAAGAATTTATTTGTTAATTTATATTAACGTGCAAAGTATTGGAGTTAACATGTGAGAGCCTACAAGTCTTCACTCCCTTTCCTGTGATTTTATGCTATCCGCTCCTCACCCCGATTCTGAATTAGCATATTTTTTTCCAAAATAAATTTTCAACTCTTATGACCATAGAATGAGCCACCTTGATTTTAATTAAATCCTTTTTCCATGTAAGTTAACCTATCATCTAAGAAAACTTGTAAATTTATCAATGTTCTACAATTCTTAAAACATAATTGAAATTTAACTTTTTTTTTTTTCCCGCTAAAAGAAAATAATTTTATACTTCTACAGTACACCTACTCTTCACTTATTGGCTATCTCATTATCTGACATTTCATATTTATGGTAACAGTGAAAAATATACTATCAGATTATTTTGCACATTAACATTGTGTACCTGTTGGTAATGAGCATCAAAGTGCAAGGCATGAATAATGCTGGCTGTGATGGTTAAGGTTTGTGTCAACTTGGCTGGACCATGATTCTCATTGATTGGCAGTTTTGTAATTTGGCACTTATGTAATGATGTAGTCATTCTCCATTTTGTAATTTGATGTGGTCATCCTCCATTTTTTACACATCTATTTTTGAATGATGTCCTGGTCTTTGGAACATAACCATGTCAGTAAGTGAGCAGTGGGTGTATTAGTGGTTTGCTGTTCCATCATTTGAATGTACTAGATAATTCTCAGGAGGTTCTTCTGTTCATTTATATTATTACTAATATACTTCAGACAGTAGGTAGATAGACTATATTCATCCTGTGTTTGTCATACAGCTCTTACGACACTTTAAACAGCTCTTCATGTGTTAGGGGGTTGAATTTAAGTTAGGACTATTTTCTTTCTATGAAAATAAAACCAATTTGCTTAAATTTCTTTTTAATATTTATCTATCCACTGATAGAATGATAAAATTGATATGCTATGAAAGAATAATATTACTTTATCAATTTTTTTTGGATACTTATCTCCAGGTACACCTTCACAGGAATTTATACGTTTGAATCACTCATAAAAATTATTGCAAGGGGCTTCTGTTTGGAAGATTTTACTTTCCTTCGGGACCCATGGAACTGGCTTGATTTCACTGTCATTACATTTGCGTAAGTGCCTTTTTTGAAACTTAGAAAAAGAGAACATGATTTTTGTTTTCTATAAGTGCTTATGCCTTTAAAAATGTCTTGGTGTGAAATTTAACTTCTGGATTTTAATTTAGCACCACAGAGGTCAAGTGGTATTTCACTTTTGCATAGTTGAAATGATTCACGCTAATTACATTTTTCAGAAAATTTCATACATACTGCTTTTCCAACACACACACACACAGACACACACAGACACATGAACTAATGTAAAAAAAATGGGTATATTCATAATACATCTGTGAAAATGGCTTTTAAAAACTATAGCCAAAATAATTCTGCTGGCCACCCAAAATTGCATTGACCTTACCTGTATTATCCATTCTCTCCAGCTTCTTTTGTTACTTTGGTAGAAAAAAGAACATAAGCATCTACTAGCATCAAACCATGCTGACAAATCAAATGAAAAGAAAAAAAAAAGAAGGCATAATAGAATATTTTAAATTCTTATTTCATAAACAAAATTATCTTTAAGACTTCTAAACACACACACACTCATTCTTTGCTCTTTCTGTTTCTCTCAAGATTTCGTCTTACTTCTTCTCTTTCCACATTTTTTGTCACTTTCTTTAACCTCCATATAAACCTTCTTACCCTTATCTCCTGTCCAGAACCAAAAACTCAAAACCAAGCCAGTTGCCAAAGAGTCGATTCTGACTCATGTGATCCCTGTGTACAGAGTAGAAATGAACTTCACAGGGTTTTCAAGGCTGAGACTTTTGGGGAGCACATCACCAGGCATTTCGAGGTGGGTCCAAGCCTCCAGGCTTTCAATTAGTAGTCAAGCGCTTAACCATTTGTGCCTCCCAGAGATTCCTGCTTTTCTAGATACACTTAGCACAATTTTTGAAGACTAGTAAATTTCCTCAAGAAAGAAGAAACCCAGAAAATGAGCAGGAGATCATTTAGGATTACAGGTATCTCCAACTTTTTGAAAGTTCACTTTATGCCAGTTGGTTTTCACACAAGACCTGCACTGGTACCTATTTTCACTAACTGAAAGAAATCCAAAGATTTTCAGTTTTATGAAAAAGTTGCAAAGCTAAACTAGCATTCAGCATTTGTTTTGCAGCATGCTATTAAAGAGGCGGCACACACTTGGAGCAGTGAGAGTGGCCTTGCCAAGATCCTTCCCCAGACATGAAACTGTACATACATTATTTCTGCTTTATACAGAGTGCATATTTATCATATTATATTTGCTTTTACTATATTTTAGTGTACCTCGGAAGGAAGATGGGGCAATCTACTTCCCTAGTGATACTGCCTCGGAAACCCAAGGAGGGGTCGCTATGAGTCGGGTCCGGCTCAACGGCACATAACAACAACAACAACGACAGTGTTATTTTATGTTTTATGTATTACTTGGTGTTTTGGTTGCCTAGTGCCACTCTGACAGGAATATACCACAAATGGGATGGCCTTTACAAACAGGAGTTTATTCTTAACAATTTGGAGGCTTTAAGTCTGAGTTCAAAGTGCTAGGCTCTAGGGGCTGTGTGAAAGCCCCTCAACCTTGGGCTTCAGCTCTGCCTCTTGCTCCTGGCCAACTGAAGCTGGAGGCTTTTCTTCACTGAGCTGCTGGCTGTTGAGGCTGAGAAGCCCAAGGTTGACAAGTAAAAAGACACAGTTTCAATATTACCAAACCACATGGCACGCCATTAATTCAAGTCCATTAAAAGTCCCAAGATCGGCAGAGCATGGCAGGCTGCTGAACAATGACTTGGCTACCTGTAGGGTTCAAATGTGCCATAAGCTAGAGACCATTCCCCAAGGCTTCTTATATACAGGAAGCAGACCACATCCCTAAAGCAGCTACTCAGCTGCTCACAGTAGACTACACCATGGAGTTGATTACCAGTCTCATCATGGGGAATACTACAGGCAGCTGCCCAGCCACTCAACCAGGTCCAGCCAAGTTGACACACAAACTGAGCTACCACACTTGGTATGATTTGGTAGGTAATTTTTAGGGTCTGGGAACCCTAAAAAAATTTTCACATAGAAATTAATGGTAATTGCTTCTTCATTTTCACCATGTCAGCTTACAAACGGTTACATAGAAACACTCTACTTTCACATAGAAAGTATATACGTACATGAAGGTGGAAGAGTTTGTTTTCTTGGCCTCCTACCGGTGGTGCACAGGAGGGGGGACACTGCTCCAAAGGCTGCCTGCCTTATCTCAATTACTTACCTGGTCAAAATGAGCCAACACTTGAAAGGAAGGCACATTGGGGCCTCTGTTTCTTGAGAATAAACTAGAAGCAATGGCAGAGCAGCATTGCCTCCCTCCTCAAACCATTGCTCTTAACTTGTCTAACTTTCACTTAGAAGTTACACCAAGAAAAACTAATTACATACAGAAAGGCCATAGGCAATCTGCCTTTTCATGCCTAAATTTCTGTTGGGTAATTTCATCTGTTTTTCTTCTAATTGAAACCATAAAACCAAAAGTGCCATTGAGTCAAATCCAAACTCATAGTGACCCTTCCTTGGGTTTCCAAGGCGCTATCTGACTCGATGGCAAATAACAACAATCTCTACAGAAGCAGATTGCCCAGTCTTCCTTCCCAGGACCAAGGTTTTTATTTTTTATTTTTCTCTTTTTACTTAATTCTCCTAAGGAAATGTTTATGTTGGTTGTACTGTTTTCCAAAGTGGCAACTAAAATGCATTCCTTGTGAAATTCACATTTACCTAATGGCCATGAATTTTGTGAGTAAAGCCAGAGTGGTGGACTTTACTTTCTAAATTGTTACTTAAAATATTTATCATTTAAAAATCACCAAAATAAATTTGTAAAAGACTCCAAGCAAAAAATATAAGTTTTCCTTAAATCTTGAGTAATTCTGATTTAATTCTACAGGTATGTAACAGAATTTGTAAACCTAGGCAATTTTTCAGCTCTTCACACTTTCAGAGTCTTGAGAGTTTTGAAAATTATTTCTGTAATTCCAGGTAAGAAGTGATTAGTATAAACCATAAGACTCCTTATACCTACAGCTCTTTCTTTGTATCCTGTTATTATGTTGTGTGTGAACTCCCTATTACAGATACGTGACTGAGTTTGTGGACCTGGGCAATGTCTCAGCATTGAGAACATTCAGAGTTCTCCGAGCACTGAAAACAATTTCAGTCATTCCAGGTGAGAGCAAGGTTAAATACGGAGGCTGACCTTTTGTCATTTTGGCATTGATTTCTTTGCTTTACTATAATACTTTATGGAAAACAGAAAATAGGGAATCATTAGGCATTACATAGAAAATTATTCTTATTATCTGGAAATAAGTTTTTGTGTTTTCACATTTTTTCATTAGGCTTAGAGTTTAACAGTTTCTTGCATGAAATGTGGAAATACAGTCTGTGTTATTTTCTCCATAAATGCAATGTAGTTTCCTTGTTTATTTTTTTTATGTCAGTTGAAACAACTTATTATCTTAAAGTGCCGTTATACATCAAACTGCCTCCAGTTTTATACCAAAATGTATTCTACTTTTAATAGGAATTTTAAAGTATGTATTCAATTTGTTATAATACTGACAACTGACCCCAATACAAGTGTGAGACAAAGTTCTTTAGCAGAAAGAAGAAACACAAGATCCTTACCTTAATATAAGTTTCCTGAAGACCCTGAACCTCCCCTAATCTTCTTTCAACAAAATGGGATATAGATCTTCATTTCACTGTTTGAGGGATAGTTACCTTTCAGGGGTTCAGCTCCATAAACTCTTCAACCCCTTGTGAACTGATGGTCATCCTCTAGCATTGCAATCATATTTGGACTTATGCATCCTGCTGTGTGGGTTCAAACCACCAGCCTCTAAATTAGCAGTCAAGTGCAAACCTTTGGAGTTATTTGCACCTAAAGATGCCATGGTTTTTTTTTTTTTTTTCTATGTCAATTATATGTTTATTCTATACTTTCAAGAAAATTGGGTGATGCTTTAATATTTCTGATGTGTTAAAACTTCAGTGTAATCTCCTTCCTTCCAGGCCTGAAGACCATTGTGGGGGCCCTTATCCAGTCAGTGAAGAAGCTCTCTGACGTCATGATCCTGACTGTATTCTGTCTGAGTGTATTTGCGCTAATTGGGCTGCAGCTCTTCATGGGCAACCTGCGGAATAAATGTGTACAATGGCCTCCCACCAATGCTTCCGTGGAGGAACATAGTATAGAGAAGAATATAACTGTAGATTACAACGGCACACTTGTAAATGAAACTCATTTTGAGTTTGACTGGAAATCATATATTCAAGATTCAAGTAAGAATTGTGTTCTTAGTTGCATTGAGGTTTTTTTTTTTTAACTCTAACCTCAATGGAAGCAGATCACCAGGACTTTTCTTCTGCAATACTGCTGTGTGGGTTCAAACTGCCAACCTTTAGATTAGTGGTCAAGTGCAGACCTTTGGAGTTATTGGCACTTAAACATGCCATGGTTTTTTGTTTTCTTTCTCTATGTCACTTGAATGTTTGTTCTTTTCATTGTTGATCTGCCTTTTCTACCCTGGAATGAAAATGTAAAAAATGATCCCATCATAGGTTGAGATCTCTTTAAAAAAGTAATTACCTAATTAACCCTTCCAAGACCAAATTATTTTCTGCCTTGAATTTTTTGTTGAAACCATGCCTTTTCAGTAATGGAAGACATTTTTTTTAATGAATTGAACAAAAAAAATTTGAGATTATATGGATTTTGATACAATTTATGGTACACATGTGTCCCAAAGGGTCTCTGAGGCTAGGGTTGGTGCTGTTTTTTTTTCAGATCCACACAGTTATACAGGCCCCACTAGATGGCAATGTATACTATAAGTGGTATAGCAGCTTCACAGTAAACCCCAGAGGTGGAAAATGTCAGTGGACACTATATGCCCATGGGTCACAAAAGGGTTAATCTATTTTAAAATGATGTTTTCATTTGTCATTTATTTCCCATAGATTTTAAATAATAGAACATTTATATTTTTAGAACTAATTTTTAAGAATTTTGTTAATCACCTTATTAATGCTTTGCACATACATTTAATTGTTTTATTGATAGCTATTCTAATTTTGAATCTTAAATGCTACTTTCTGTTGAATCATCTGGTGGTAATTCTTTACCTAGAAAGAAATATTCCTAGGAACTTTGTTTGCTGTGTGCATTCTTACTGTGATAATTGAGACAATCAAATGAGAAAAAATATGTGAGAGCCCTTCAGAAATTCTAAAATGCTATACAAATATAATCCATTAAACAAGAAGTATGTTGTTGTTGTTATATGCCGTCCAGTCGGCCCGACTCGTAGTGACCCCTCCTTGGGTTTCCGAGGCGGTATCCCTGCGGAAGTAGATTGCCCAGTCTTCCTTCCGAGGAGTGGCTGGTGGGTTTGAACCACTAGCCGTCTGGTTAGCAGTCAAGTGCCTTCGGCACTATGCTACCAGAGCTCCTAAACAAGAAGTATAGTATGCTTTTTATGTACCAGAACTGTACAGGATGATGAGGAAAATAATGGTAACAGCCCATGAGTTCGTGATGTTTAGCAGATTATTTTTATTGACTTTCTAGAAGTCACAATAGACCTAAAGATAAACATTATTCTTATATTTGAGTAGTAGTGCTAGATCAGAAAGAAGGATATTTCAGTTAATTAAACTTTATGAGAGAATAATAGAAAATGTTTTAGTAGCTAATACTATATATGCATGTTTTACTGTAAGCTGCATATAATACACCCTGGAAGTTGGTAGAATGTATATTATAATTATATATTTTAAAATATATAAATACTGTTAAAAAACAATAGAGGATTAGAAAATGTATAACTCTTTTATTTTGAGATATGTTGTTGTTTTGAAAAAGCCAAGAAATCCCTCTCATTCTTAATTCTTTTTACAGAATGAAATTTTATTATTCATGAGGGTAGTGGAAAAACACTGGTACTTTTCCAAAATATTATGCTAGTACCTGTGATTATCATTTATTATACATTCATACTGAGGAAATACTTTGCACTATTAAGTATCTAATCTCCTTAATATGATGCCTAGTATTTGGAGAGAGAGGAGGAAAAATCTTGTGTCTTTCAATGAATTATATATTAAAAACTACTCAATGAATCCTACGAGTAGGACCTAATCTTCCTGTTCTTGCTTTAGTACTTTTAATAACGCAAATGTTCCTCATATGACTTTCTTTCTCTTCCAAACAGGGTATCACTATGTCTTGGAGGGATTTTTAGATGCACTGCTGTGTGGGAATAGCTCTGATGCAGGGTAAGCCAGTAACATGTATGAACATAAATGTATATATTTTTCCTTCTTTTTATAACACTTGATAAAAACAGCCAACTAACTTCTATAAAGTGAGAGATTAACTAAATATCAGGCAAAGTTTTATGTTTCACAAAGAAGGAGTAATATCCTGTGGCTTCCAGCCAAACAATCACCAGGCATATAAGGTGAATATATGTACCAGGTAGGTGCACTCCTTAGAATGTACAACCATGGGAGATCAGAAGAACAGTATTTTGCACAGGGAGATAACTCAGAGAGCAAGAATGCTTAGGAAGAAGGACATAGAGAAAAGATAACCACAGGAAGAAAGTGGGAAGAGAGCTGTTGCATTGTGGGGATTGTAATCAATGTCATGAAACAAAATGTGTATGAACTGTTACATGGAAAATGAATTTGCTCTGTAAACTTTCACCCAAATCACAAAAAAAGGAAGGAGTAATAATTTTAGCTACAATGCTATTTCCTTTAGATAGAATTATTGAAAAGTAAAGAAAAGAAAAACAAACCCACTGCCATCGAGTTGATTCTGACTCTGATTCTGACTCATAGTGACCCTATAGAGCAGAGTAGAACTGCGTCATGGGGTTTCCAGGGCTCTTAATCTTTATGGAAACAGACTGCTACATCTTTCTCTCACAGAGCACCTGGTGGGTTTGAACTGTATTTGGTTATCAGCCAAATGCTTTAACCATTGTACCACCAGAGCTCCCTAGCTAAAAGTATATGTGACTACAACTCAGCTCTAGAAACTCCATAGTAGGGAAAATAAAATAGAGATATATTAAAATACAGATTACCAATTGAAAATAGTTTTATAAAGTATTATTAAAGTATTACACCTTAAAATGTAGATAGTAAAATTATATTAAGTAAAAAGTTGAGAAAAGGAAACTTACTTCATTGGTTACTGGGCAGGGGAGGCAAGGGGAGGGATAATCTCAGACTATTTGGGGGTCACCTGCTGATTTAGGTGAGGGGAGGAATGGTATGGAAAGAGTCTGTGACCAGCATGGTGACACTGGGGAAAGGAAAGACACTAAAATGTACACAAAAGATGCAGACAACAGAGGCAAACACTATTACAGGCCCAACACTGCAATTTCACAAGCACCAAATACTAGGCTATGGATTAATGCATAGACAGGTGAGAAAAGCAGGTGGGGGTAGGCGAACAGGAATATATCCTAGACTGAGGACAGATTCAGCTGAAGATAATCTTATGTATGCTCTTATGCTACAAAATTAGCCACATACATTACAGAAGCAACAGAAGACAGGGTGGGAGTAACTTCACAGGGACAACCAAACATCTTGTGACAGAGAACCTCCAGGCCTGGGGGTTTGGGACCATAGTCTTGGGGGACATCAGGCTCATTGGTACACATAACTCATAAAAATTTTGTTCTATAACCTATTTTGGTGAGTAACGACTAGGGTCTTAAAAGCTTTCAAGGGGCCATCTAAGATGCAACTATTGGTTTCCTCTCGGATGGAGCAAAGGAGAGTGAAGAAAATCAAAGTCATCTGGAAACAAGTAGTCCAACGATAAGAAGGCAGGAACCTCAGCCTCCAGAAGAACTAGATGGTGCCTAGCTACCAATGCCAACTGCTTGGAAAAGAATCGAACCTGGACATCCTGGATAGTGTGGGAGGAAAAATGCGGAACAAAACTCAAGATACAAAAATGACCAGCATTATTGGTCAGACAGAGACTGGTGGAACCCTTCAGACTATGGCCCCAGGTTACCCTTTGAGCCTGGAAATGGACTCACTTACATGGATTGGCTCTCAGCCCAACAGTAGAAAGACCCACATACATAACACCTACCCCAGGTGGATGTACTCACCTACTCTAGGGAGGTGCACCCCTTGGATCAAGCAGCCATGACACACTAGAGGGGTAGCATTCACATAGAGGGAAGTCTGGCTAGACAGGAACATCGATGAGAGGGGCACAAGAAGGAGGTGGCCGCAGGGAGGAGAGGGGAGGAGAGTTTCTTAGGGTTGGGGACAGTAACTGGGACCATGAAACCAAACGTGCATGAATTGTTGAATGTAAAACAAGTTTGCTCTGTAAATTTGCACCCAAAGCATAATGAAATAAAATAAAATAAAAAGTTGAGAAATGTGTTATTTATTATTCCTTGAAATAGTAAATCTTCTTGGGAAGATGTTACAGTATAGCATGCTACCAGAATGAGAAGTCATCAGAATATCATGTAATGCTTCCTTGTGCCCTGTTTACAGCCAGTGTCCAGAAGGATACATGTGTGTGAAAGCTGGTAGAAACCCCAATTATGGCTACACAAGCTTTGATACGTTCAGTTGGGCTTTTTTGTCCTTATTTCGACTGATGACTCAGGACTTCTGGGAAAATCTTTACCAACTGGTGAGAATCTGAATAGAGACATACTGCATTTAAATAGTAGTGTGCAAAAAATTCAACTTAGCTTTGAAATCCAAACCACAGCATAATATAGTGGAAAGAAAAATTGACTGCCAACCAGTCAATTTGGACTCAGTGACCCTGCAGGAAAGAATAGAATTGTCCCATAGAGTTTCCAAGGCTGTAATCATTATGGGAACAGACTTCCACATCTGTCTATGAGCCATAGAGTAGCTCATAGATTCGAACTGCCGACCTTTCAGTTAGCAGCCAAACACTTATCAACTGAGCCCCAGGGCTTAAAATCAGAAAATTTGAGTTCCTCTATCTTTTTAATCAGAACACATGTTTATCATGGTGATGCCAGGGGTAGAAATTATCTGTCATTTCCCCTTGGTTAAAAAACCCTTTCCCACCCTTCACAGATACATCCTCCCCTCATTTTCAGGCATCCAATCAAATACTGTTACTCAGGTGGGAGATGGTGAAAAATGAAGAAACATATGTAGAAAGTGAACTTTGGCCTCTTCCTTGACCTTCCTCAAAGGATTGATTTTTGATGGAAATCTCCATTGTGTTTTATTGACTTCCCCTTTACTCTTGGTGAATTCAAGAATGCCCTTATAGAGATGAGAATGTAAATGCATGAGTTAAGGGAGAAGGCAGAGGGCAAGCTTAAGGAAGAAGACAGATAAAGAGTTAGGATGGACCGTGACCAGAATAATGATCTTTTCAGAGGCCTATAAGACATACAAGTAATTTGAAAGTTGAAGTCATCAGTTAGTGAAATAACATTGAATAAATAATTCTGATATTCTTGTTTCCAGACATTACGTGCTGCTGGGAAAACATACATGATATTTTTTGTGCTGGTCATTTTCTTGGGCTCATTCTACCTAATAAATTTGATCCTGGCTGTGGTGGCCATGGCCTATGAGGAGCAGAATCAGGCCACCTTGGAAGAGGCAGAACAGAAAGAGGCGGAATTTCAGCAGATGCTTGAACAACTTAAAAAGCAACAGGAAGCAGCTCAGGTAAATTTACAAAAGCAAATGTGTCCTGTCTCACTGCATGAGCCTTCTTTCCTTTTCTTTTTTTTTTTTGCTTATTGCAAACATTCTGAAAAGAAAGTGAGAGACAGATAATTGTGTTTGAAAGTAACTAAGAGAAATTGATAGAATTAGGATTTCTACATTTTGATTGAACATTCACCGCTAATCAAAAGGTTGGTAGTTCAGACCTGCCCAATGGCTCCATGTGAGAAAGACCTGGTGATCTGCTTCTCTGAACATTACAGCTAAGAAAACCCTATGGGCCCATTCCACTCCATTCCATGGAGTCACTAGAAGTTAAAATCAACTCTGTGTCATACAATGACAACAACATAGATCTTTTAGCTAAATTATGCAAAATATGCATAATGCTGACCATAATAGAATTGTCTCATGCTATTTTATCATCTTAAGATTCTCAGAATAAAAGAAAAAATGTGACATTTGGGTCTTCTCAAGCAAGAAACTATTGATGAATGAGCATACTGGCAATGGAGAAAATCTTAACAAATTATCTTTTCTTAGAAAAAATTATTAGTAATTACATAAAAATATGTCCATCTAGTTCTGGTACCTAACCAGACTGCTAATCAGAAGGCTGGCAGTTCAAACCCACCAGCCACTCCTCAGAAGGAAGGTTGGGCAATCTACTTCTGTAGTGATACTGCCTTGGAAACCCAAGGAGG